AGATGCGTTGTTCGAACGGTTCGGAGAATCTGATTCTCTGCGCCGAAAATTGCACCGAAGTCTTCAATCTATGAAGGCGGTCGACCGTTACTCGTTCTGCGAGTCAGTCAATTCTCTCATGGCGATAATACGTCAATTGAGAGAATTGGGAGATAACGTCAACGACCCACTTCTAGAAACGCTCATTGAGGGCAAATTGCCTCAATGGGCGTTACTGGAGATTTACAACGACAAACAACACGCAGACGATTGGAACGTGGACCAACTGTGTGCGAAGCTACAATTGATGGTGAAGGTGCGCGAAAACATCAAGTGGTCACATCCAGTCGAACGACAAAAATCGATTGGTCAAGACAAGGACGTGGAATCCAGCTCCGCGTTCACGATCACTCAGCAGCAACAACAACGAGGACCAGGTATCGTCCTCAACAAATACAATAGCTCAGGTGCATGCCCCTTCTGTGGAGGCAAGCACTGGGCAGCTCGATGTGAGCAATACAATTCGGCGGAAAGCCGTACAAACAACGCAAAGCAACAGAAGCTTTGCCTACGGTGCCTGAAAAAGGACCATATAGCGAAAGACTGCTGGAGCAAGATCCCGTGCTATTATTGCGGGAAGGCGAATCACCATCAGGCCTTCTGCTACGAAGCCGCGAAAACAAGTCGATCGAGCCATCAGCATGCAAGCGGTGGCAGTCGAGGTGCACGACAATCGAGACGACAACCGACAATGGCAACCGCTGTCAGCAACAACAATAATATATCAAGTATGCAGTTAAATCGAGTTAACACTGCACTTTTTGGGCAACGAGATTCTGGCGAAGACAATTTCGCTAAGAATCAAATACTACTGCCGACGACGTATGCCGACGTCATCAATCCAAACAATCCTGACCAAAGATACAAGGCAGTGGTACTGTTCGACAGCGGTAGTGACAGCACATATGTCACTAAAGAACTGGTACAGCAGCTCAACCTGCCAATTATCGGCAGAAGACCAGTTACAATTAGCGGATTTGGAGAAACTACAACCCAACTCGCGCAAACCGATATCGTCGAAGTTCAAGTGGCTCGAAACGACGGGCCAACTACAATTCGTGCGTTAGTTGTTCCAAAACTTACGCATAAAATACTTACTGTGGAGTTACCCGCAAAATTACTCACACAGAGAAGTATTCTTTCGCTCGAAACGCAAGCAGCTCCAGTATCGGTTCTCATTGGTGTGGATCAAATGGATCGAATCTTGGATTTAGCATCCGCTACAAAACTACCATCTGGTTTTACTCTCTTCCAATCCCGTCTGGGAATGATATTGAGTGGTAAAGGAAAAACCGATCCATACGACAACCCATCGGCCGACTCTCTCACTGTGACGACGTCAATATCAGAAGATCCGGTGGAGAGATTTTGGAAACTGGAGCTAATCGGCATAATGGAGAATCCAGCAATTACGGACGACGAAGTGGCGATTCAAAGGTTTAATAACACCATTAACTTCAGTAACAACCGATACCACGTTTGTTGGCCATGGAAAGATGACAAACAATTCTCCAACAATTACTCGCTCTGTTATCGTCGACTGTGCTCAACCTTGCGCAGTCTACGACAGAACGAAAATCTCCGACAAAAGTGTGGAGACATAATACAAGAGCAGCTGGACTCCGGTGTGATCGAAGAAGTTACTGGTCAGGAAGAACAACTTCGATCGTACTATATGCCGATACAAACCGTCGTCAAGTCAACAAGCGTAACTACAAAGGTTCGTCTTGTATTCGATGCGTCAAGTAAGATGCGAACAGGTGGATGTAGCCTAAACGAAGCCATACTACGTGGGCCCGTCTACTTACCAGATTTATCCGGCGTCCTCTTACGTTTCCGAGTAGCTGAGATCGTCATCATCGGAGACATCGAAAAAGCCTTTCTACAAATCGGCTTACAAACAATGGATCGAGATTCAACTCGATTCCTATGGCCCAAAGACTCTGATCAAGCATTAAGTGCGGAAAATCTCAGAATCTTTCGATTCAAAAGAATTCCATTTGGAGTCATCGCATCGCCGTTTCTGTTAGCAGCCACAATCCGTTATCATTTGAAAAAGAATGATACTTCATCAATCGCGAAGGAACTAATCGACAATGCGTACGTGGACAATATTATGATCACAGCAGCTGCAACGAACGAAGCGATCAACAAAATGGAAGCCGCAAAGAAATTATTTGCTAAAGCCTCCATGAATCTTCGAGAATTCAACTCGAACAACAAAGAAGTCCGTCGCCACTGTGAACCTAGTGAACGACAGGACACCATAAAAAGCAAAGTGTTAGGAATATCTTGGAATGTTCAATCCGATATAATAAGTTTCAGCTTCAAGGAATTTAATGAAGTGAACGTTACAAAACGATCAATCCTGTCTTGGATCGCGAGTATATTTGATCCGTTGGGGTACCTCACTCCCACAATACTGCCAATCAAAATCCTGATTCAGTCATTATGGGAGCTTAAATACAAATGGGATGAGCCTTTAAACGATACGGACATGAACAATTTCCACTCTATAGCGAAGGGATGGAAGAATCAACTGATCGAAATCAGTAGAAATATTGGTCAACCCAAAGCAATTCATTGCTTCGTCGATGCTTCGAAAGACGCTTATGCTGCAGCCGTGTATATCAAATCAGATGCCGGCTGCAACCTCATCATGGCAAAAAGTCGCCTTGCACCAATCAAAGGACTCACAATCCCACGTTTAGAGCTACTCGCAATCTTAATTGGAACTCGACTACTCAATCACGTTAGTTCTGAACTTCAATCAGATGTACCACGGATCCTATGGTCAGACAGCCAGTGTTCACTCTCATGGATAGAGCTAAATAATCAAAGCCAACGATTCATTCGAAATCAAGTGGAAAAAATAAAAGCATATCAAAATATCGAATTTCGATATGTTCCGGGTGTTTTGAACCCTGCTGATCTCGCTACCAGGGGTATTCAACCGAGAGAATTAATCCAACACAAGGAATGGTTCCATGGACCGAAATTCGTGGAACGACCTGAATCAGAATGGCCTGAACCGTTTCATTCGAAGCCCACTGCTCATGATGAAGAACGAACGACGTGCCTTACGACAATCGAGTGTGATGAGCCATCGATCTTCAACCCTGAACACTTCAGCAACTACAATCGACTCCTGAACTCAACAGCTGCGGTCCTACGGTTCGCTACGAAGACAATGAAAAGCCGTTCTACAGCCAAATGGGCTTCCGTTAGTTCATTTGGGCCTTTCACGGCAGAAGATCTAATAATTGCGGAATTCTATCTTTTGAAAGATATTCAAAACAAACAAATCAAATCCGAAGAGAAAACTACGTTCGATATGTTCCAAGACGAAGGTATCTATCGATGCGGAGGACGCGTAATGGCTTCTCGTCTTCCAAAAGACAACATTCACCCTATATTTCTACCAAAAAACAATGCGCTGACGCGTCTTATCATACTGGACGCTCACAACCAACTCGCTCATGCAGGTACCGCTCATACTTTAAACACAATTCGCAAACGATTCTGGATACCGCAAGGAAGAGCCACTATCCAGAATACTATACAAAGACACTGCATGGAGTGCAAACGTTGGAAGGCGAAACCATTCAAACTGCCGCCTTTCCCGGAATTACCAGCTGAACGCACAATTCCAACCAATCCATTTACCAATGTTGGGTTGGATTACTTTGGTCCTATTCGCATCAAAGCGTCTGCCACAGATGAAAGGACCTCGAAACGATGGATATCTCTGTTCACATGCCTGTGGACTCGAGCAGTACATCTGGAAGTCGTAACCGATTGCTCAACAGAAGCCTTCATCCTAAGCTTTCGAAGATTCGTTGCTCGATGGGGACAACCAAAGTTGATAATATCCGACAATGCGCCAACTTTCATACTCGCAGCAAAAACAGTAAGCCAAATTCTTAGCCGTGTACAATGGAAAAATATAACGGAATTTGCTCCATGGCAAGGAGGCGTTTACGAAAGAATGGTTCAAACTACAAAAAAGGCTCTCAAACGAATGATTGGACGAGCCTTTATCAGCGACGAACACTTAAAAACCCTAATCAGTGAGTGCGAATCACTGGTGAACTCGAGGCCGTTGACTTACGTAGATAAAGAATCACTTCAAGTCATAAGGCCAATCGATCTAATCACTCCTGCAACAAACATGTCACCTTCCCCAGGATTCCGAGATAGCAATTCCGAATCTGATGAAGAATATATGGAATCAGCTAATAATCGAGACATACTGGTTAGATCTTGGACGCACTCTAAACGATTCATCGAACGTTTTTGGAATGCTTGGGAGACTGATTACTTATTAAGTCTTCGAGAACGTACTCAAAGAAACCACAAGTCGGGAAAAATAATCACTCATAGGTTGCCCCAGTTGGGGGAAGTAGTAATCATGCATGATGAATCAAAGCCTCGCCCGCTCTGGAAATTGGGCGTTATCGACAAACTCATCACGGGAACAGATGGAAATATTCGATCCGCGGAACTCAACTGTGGAACCAACAATAAAAACCTATCACGCCCAGTGAATCTACTCTACCCACTGGAAATCCATAACGATGACGCAGCTTTCGCACGAACACAACGTGACAAGACGCAGGCGACAAACGGTGAAAATAGAACACCGAAAGGCAACGAAGAGAGGAAAAACTCAAATAACCAGTATCAAGGACCAATAACACGATCCAGAACGCGAGCGCTCGAAACCAGTACGACGTTGACATCATGTCTCTTACTATTAGCCATCATTACGCAATTTGGTGAAGCAACGAAATGTGGGAACCCAAAAGGAGGCGTTCCAGTACGCTTCCCCGCTTACCGAAACTGTAGTGTGATGGAACGAGGTGGTGGAAGTGTGTGGACGGAAGCAACGATCTACACTCGAACGTATGTCACCACTCCAGCCTACTCATGTACGAACCACTCAAGAACGGTATGTACTAACTCGTTTTTCCACCTTACCTTATCCGTGACATCGGACTATACAAATGTTTCTGGCATTTCACCTCAATTATGTACGGAAATAATCCGCACAAAGAAAATTGATGGAAATCAAATGGTCTTACGATCAAACAACCGATGGGAAACCGACGTACCAGAAGATTACTCCTTCGGCTGGATCGGAACGAGATGTCAAACGACGTCTAATTACGTCTTACAATATGGCTCGGTTGCTATCTATGCCGATGATCGGCTCTTCGAAACCAACCGAAGTGTGTCAGCCGAATGCAAAGCCAAAGATGGTGTCTGTATCACTGATCATACGCTAATTTGGAACGTTACGAATGCTAACGAACAATGTCACTACAAACTGTTGGGGACCTACACAGTGTACGCTACTCCACATTTTGTTAGCGTGAAAGGTTTGGAAGCCTCTTTCGGATTTAAACATTATGTTCCTGCCTTACCTAAATGCGATATACAACAAGTATACTTACTGGAAAACGATTTCGCAATGGTATTCGAGGACAAAAGTATACGCGGATCATTCTCAAAATGGATGGCATCTAACCCTAGATGGGTAAGCATAATGAATCGAGAACACGAAAAAGACATTGCGGCTAGTTTCTCACCTTATATGAATAAGACTATTTTCTCAGACGATAAGAACTCAATACTTGGATATTTCTGGGAAAAGTCAAAATCACGCTATGACCCAATAAACGTCAAGCTACAGTTCGTCTACAACCTTCTTCGAAGACAAATCAATCAGCATTTCCCGAGAATGGAACAATCAATATGTGAGTCAAATAATGCCGTCAATCTCATAGCAAGAACTAGCCCACCTACAATAGCAGCTAGGATCTTGTTACAACGAACAGATGTCGAAGCAATTCGACTATCAGAAGATGCGTTACTGGTATCGACGTGTGACAGCAATATCACGACCGATTCCAATTCGTCATCATCCGATCAAACGATAGACGAGTTTACGTTCAAGGCTAGTCCATTGCCTAACTTGGAAAGGCAACGTATTGATCAAGCTCTCTCGCTCTTACATTCAGAAATGCAGCAAGTTAGCGCCGACGTCGGTTCAGATACACCGACGGACGGTACATTCGACAGTTTGAGGAATGAGGGCGAAAAAATCTTATGGATGGCTGAAGATCGAGTCACCAAAACAGCCGAGGAAATACAAGCTGTTCTCAATACGATCAGCAACCGATACGTAATCATCGCGATCATCATCGGAGTTACCCTGTTGGGAATCGCAGCGCTTTTGCTGTACTTAAAGTTCACTGGATGCCTCGGCTCGAGTAACAACGTCCGAATCCAATTCCCATCCACCTCCGACAACGAACGCGTCACTGCCACAGGCATCGAACTCAAGGAAATGGTACGAAGCCAAGAACCAACAAATGCAACAATGGCGGAACAACGCCCAATGATAACAAATGCAACGCCTGGGATCCAACTCCAAAGGCCTGCATCAATATTTTCACCCTTAATAAGTCCACTATGACAA